ACTGGGGAGCAGACCCAAGTCTGGGGTGACAAGAGAATGTGGGGAATAATCCCCTGGGGAACTAATTTCAAAAAGGGCCTTAGACCAGGCCTGGGCACAGAGTGGGCTCCATGTAGGAAAGCTAAGGAGCTGTGAACTCCAGGCCTCCTTGAGGCCAGGACCAGCTTCAGAGGCAGGCAGCATTTCCAGAAAGTCCTTATAACTGGGGCACCATTATAAGAGCAAAGTGGCCAGATGGATTTTCTGCTCCTCCCCAGATTGGGATTCTTGGCATGTGCTGGTACAGCCTGGGTATATGTTGAGCCCTTGCTATAGGCCAGGCACCATGCTGGGCCACCTCCCAGCTTGCAGTGCAGAGCTAGGATTTGGACCCAGGTCTTGAGACCTCTGAATGGCAATGGCAGGCTTCCTAGAGGAGGTGATCCTTTAGGGGGCCAGTGGTAACAGGCTTTGTGAAGCTGCCAGGCATTGGGTGTCAGGAACCATAGAGAGCTACTTGGGGTCCCTGGACCAGCCTGGGAGTGTGGAGCAGGCCTGGCTGCCTAACCATCACAGCTGTTGCCAGCTCCCCTGTCAGCTGTTCAAGCGTATTTCCAAAGACAAAACAAGAATAATAGAGATCATTAAATATACATGGAGCCCCAGGCAGCTGGCGTGGTAGGCTGGGCCTCCCTTGCAACACTGAGCTGCTCTGCTGGGCCAATGTGCTCCTGGAGCCAGTTCATAGGCCCTCCATTAGCGGCATGCAGGCCACGGGAGCCAGGTAAGGGCAGCCAGGCCCTGGGCACTTGGAGTCTTCCACCAGCCTGCCTAGGTTGCAGGGGAGAAGAGGGAATGGGAAGTTGGCAGAGTTGAGGTCTTGATCCTAACTCACTTTAAGACCTCTTCTCTGGGCCGCAGTTTATAAGATGGGTATAATGCCCATGCAGTTCCCCTCTTGAGGTCAGGGATACCAAGACAGGTAAGTGCTTGGTGGCATATCTCAGCCCCTCACCTGCCCCACTAGGCCTGGCTGGGGGAGGTCCCTAATTGAATTTCTTCCCTAGGAAGACTTCACTCACTTCCTGTAGGGCCGTGGAACCTAGAGAGGTTTGAAGGCCCTGGGTTCACAGGTGTTGGCTGAGTCCAGACCTCAGACAATGCTGGCTAGGTGGTAAAAGACAAAGTCTAAGGTTTGGCTCAGGGGAGACAGCCATCCAAGGTGCTGGTCATATGTACCCCTTGCATGGGCTGGGTTTGTGTACCTGTGTGTGTGTCTCTTTGGATTTCTGCATCTGTGGTCATCGTGATTATTCCTTCTAACCCTGCATGTAAGAGTGAGAAGTCCTGCCCAGGTCCATATGAGGCCGGGGGTGTGGGTAGTGCGGGCAGTGGCTGAAGAATGTGGAGCCTCAGGGCTGGGGAAGTCTGCAAGAACTCCACTCCTCCAGGGTGAACTCGGGTTCAAGCTATGCCCCACCTGGCTCTTGAGATAACTCACCCTTGCTGGACTACCTCCCTTCTGAAGAGAGGCTCTAGCTTGGGTGACATAAAGTCCCTGCCTGCCCCTGCAGCCTGGCTATCCTGTGAAGTTCAACAACACCCTCTCTCAGGCCTCAGGATATGCTGAGCCTGGGCTGGCAGATTGTACCCTCTCTGTCTCCCCAAGACCTTCCAGAGGCAGCCCTACCAGCAACGTCAATGGGCTTAAATGCAAAAGGAGTCAGGGGTTGACCATGTACCCCTATGTTCATTCCTTCTCCATGTCCCTCCCTCTCCAGCTTTAGATTTCACAGTCTTTCATCTCAAAATCCTTAGCAGAAACCCTAAACTCGTCTTGCTAAAGAACTCATTGGGGCCAGTTCCCTACCCTGCTCCTGAGGATTGCTGAGGGACACCCTTGGCTCCTTAGCAGCTGTTCCCACCCACTTTACCCCCTCACCTTGTGGTGAGCAGTGGCCCAGACACCCATCTCTACTTCCTCCATAATGGCCTAGCACCTCCTTGGGGGTCTTACCCTACAAGTGAATCCATTGAACTCTGCTTTCTTTCTCCCTCTCTCTTGGGTCTGTGCTATTGACTTGCTAACTCAAGCCTCCCTCACTAAAAAAAATTAAAAGCCCCTGATCCCCATATCTCTGGCCACCTCCCCTTCATGACTTACCTCCCCACACCTATTCTCCCTGACTTCTACCTCACCTTCCCTCACCCATCAACTCCAACAGATCACCCAGCACTCCTACCTAGGCCTGCCCACCTCCTCACCCCCACTCCAAATTTACTTTGCTACCAGGCTGGTGTGGGCTCTGGCCGCCTCCTCCTTTCTGCCTCCTCCCACACAGGCTTAAAACTCTCACCACCTGCTGGTCTACAACTGTCTGTGGCCCGGACCCTACAAGTTTGTGAAACACACCCTTGAATCTCCACTTGGCCATCCCACAGTCCCTCCAGACCCACTGTGTCCCCAGATCAAATGTGTCATATTCTACCGCCCTCTCACCTCTATGGCAATTCCTCCGTTTATTCAGCTTTATTAAGCCCAGCTCTACCCTCACTCTCAGGCCCACCAGTCCCTTGCTGGTCCTGTTATATTACTTCAAAAGTGCCCTGATGTGTCCACTCCACTCCATCATGGCACTGACCTAACCTAGCCCTGTCATCTTTCTCCTCAACTTTGTTCTGCACCCTCTCCCAATCCTTCTCTATGTGGTGGCCCGAGCTTTGCAAGACCACTTTCTGATAAGCAATGGCATGGGCACTGTGGCACCTCAGCTTCCTCATCTGTAAAATAGGAGTTACAGTGGTACCCTCTTCCCAAGGTTGTAGTGAGGTATGGTAGTTGTGAACAGAGGCCCTACAGTCAAGAACAGGATTTGTTGTGCTCTTGCCTTGAGGTCTCAAGCATGTAGTCCAATATCTCCAAGACAGAGTCTTACCTGTAACATGGGGACAGCTGTCCCTGTCTTAAGTATCGTAAGAATCCAGAGAGCACAGGAGAGCATTTGGCATCATCATAGACACAGTGACCTTTGGTGTTGTTCTTTTTAAATTATTTTCAAAGTGCAAACTTGGTTACAGTACTTCTGCCTGCTTTACATCCTGGAGTGGCTCTCCATTCCTTAGGGACCCAACTCCCATCCCAGCCTTCATGATCTCCATAGGCCAGTCCCCTGCCTGCCAGCCTGGCCACTGCCTGCTCACATGCCCCCACCACTGTTCTGTGGCCGTACAACTTCCCTTTTAGCCCTCTTATCACTTGGTCTTTGTATATGCTGTTCCATCCGCTAAGAGCACTGTTCCCACTTCAGTTTGATTAACTCCCTCCCCTCCTCCAGGTCTCCCTCATCAGGGAAACCTTCCTGGGTGGCACAGGGTGGCACTCTTGCCTTTGCAGCCCCTCACAACAAGTTTTCCCACTGATTAAAGTCCCTCTCCACTGTGACATTGGGAGCAGGTCTGTTTCTAGTACCCAGCACAGTGCCTGATACAAAGCACACAATGCTTGAGGAATAAATGAAAGATAAAATTGCTCCCAGACGCCCACTCCATATCTGCCACAAAAGGCTGGGGATTGAGATGGGACCCTGAACCAGACCAAGAAGGCAGACCAAGAAGGGACTGCTTGGATGACCACTGGGGGGCACTGCCCCCAAGGCCTGTGCCTCAGAGCCAAGGAGCAGTCAAGTGGCAGGCCCTTGCTGCCAGAGATTGCCCCAGGTGGCCTTACTGGAGAAGACAGGACAGGCTATGACACCACCACAGGCAATAATAAAAACAGAAGACCTGCCAGGCCAGCACTGTGGCACCTCTCCATCCCATTCATTCTCACATCCACTGTAACACAGACTACATGACTTGCTGTGGGCCTGCTCCAGGACCCACATAGCTGGGTTCCACCCTTGAGCCCTCCTAAGGCTAGGTGTACCCTATGGGCTCTGGTCCTGCATCTGTGCATCAGGGCTGAAAGATGTGCCTGATGGGGGGCTGCAGAACCCTGGGGAGACTGGTGGACACTTTTGATGACAGACAGACCCAGGTGCCAAGGACCCTCTACTTGGGACAGGCAGGGGTATGGCTATGTAAGGCAGCCTTGAGCCAGAAGGGCTGGCCCTGTCCCCCTCCTTCCCGGAAGTCTGACACTCCAGCCAGGCCTTTTTCTGAAATGCCACATGGAGCTATGACAGCTGGGGCTAGACCCTGGGGGCTCCTCTAAAGGATTATTTCCACTCATGATCTCCAATTCCTGCCCCCTTTCTCACTTTTCTTTTTTTAAATGTTATTTTTGTTAGTTTGAATCAGCCCAGTTCTCTCCCAATGCATTATTTATGCTGCAGGAGTGAGCAGCTCAAGTTACAATGACTGCAGCCCTGGGCACTCACTCCACTCCCCCCTGGCCCAGGACATGGAGGGTCCAAGGTCCCCCTCCCAGGCCATTTGACAAAGCTTTCAGCATCTAGCCTGGGGATTAGGAGCCAGGCTCCACTTCCAGCCCAGGTCAGACATGGGTGGCTTAAGGCAGGTGGCTTCCCCTCTTTTGAGGCTCAGCGTCTTCCTGTGTCAAAGAGTGACGGTAAAAGCTCTTAACTTAAATGTTTTGAGCCAGTTTCTGCACATGAAGGGCTTGGCACATAGGAGGGCTTCATAAATGTCAGCCACAGCTGCTGACACGAGGCCCGTAAAGCCTGGCCCTCTCCCCCAGATAGGCCTCAGCCAGGTTTCCCTGTTCCTAGTAAACAACACCACTACACTTTCCACCCCTTCTTGAAGGTGAAATCTAAGTCCATGTTGAGAGGAAATGAATTATGAATTCACCCCTAGGAATCCTGGCCCCAGCCAAGCTGGCTGAGCTTCCCTGTGTCAGCCGCTGCCAGTCCCAGCTGCTCTGTGTTAGAGAAGGCCAGTCCCGGTTTCTCTGTGTCTAAGGAAGCCTGTGTCGAGCCTTGGCCAGAGACTAACTGGTCCCTGCATCTTCAAGTTCCTGAACCTGTGACTCCAGCCCTGCGGGAGCACAGGCAGCCACCATGGCAAAGGAAGAAGATGAGGAGAGGAAAGCCAAGAAAGGAAAGAAGGGAAAGAAGGCTCCGGAGCCGGAGAAGCCAAAACGGAGCTTGAAGGGGACATCCCGACTATTCATGGGCTTCCGGGACCGTACGCCCAAGATCTCCAAGAAGGGCCAGTTCCGTAGCGCGTCGGCCTTCTTCTGGGGCCTCCACACTGGCCCACAGAAGACCAAACGCAAGAAGAAGGCGCGGACCGTGCTCAAGTCGACATCGAAGCTCATGACGCAGATGCGGATGGGCAAGAAGAAGCGCGCTATGAAGGGAAAGAAACCATCCTTCATGGTGATTCGCTTCCCTGGCCGTCGAGGCTACGGTCGGCTGCGGCCGCGTGCTCAGTCGCTCAGCAAGGCCTCCACGGCCATAAACTGGCTCACCAAGAAGTTTCTCATCAAGAAGGCCGAGGAGTCAGGCAGCGAGCAGGCCTCCCTGGATGCCTGGCTCAACCGCTCAGGCTCCCGGGGCTCACGAAAGCTGCCCTTCCCGTCCGGGGCCGAGATCCTGCGCCATGGTGGTCGCTTGCGCCGCTTCCCACGCAGTCGCAGTATCTACGAATCCGGGGAGCCTGTGGGTTTCCTACCCTTCGAGGATGAGGTTGCGTTCAGGCACTCGGGCTCGCGCAGATCACTGTATGGGCTCGAGGGCTTCCAGGACCTGGGCGAGTACTATGATTACTGCCGCGAGGGTGATGATTACTATGATCAGCAGTCGCTCTACCAGTACGAGGAACAGGAACCCTACCTGGCTGACTACGGCTCCTACAGCCCAGCGTGGCCCCCCTACAGCAGCGACCCCTATTATGGGTACCCGCCAGAGGGCCCTTATGACTACTACTCTGCCGACTATTACGGGGACTCCTACCCACCATACCCCTATGGCTACAGCTATGGCTACGACGACTACGAGCCCCCCTACGCTCCCCCATCGGGGTACACATCCCTGTCGGGGCATGCATCTCCCTATAACTACTACGATGAGTATGAGGGTAAGGATTACTCGTATAGCCATTACCTGGACCCTTACGCACCTTACGATATGCCCTACCCACCCTATGACCTTGCTTACGACATACCCTACGACATATCCTATTTTGATCCTTATGGCTTCCCCTACGGCCTCCCATACAGCATTCCCTATGCTGAAAGAATCTATGGTGGTGGAACCGAGGCAATCTACCCCCCAGAGGGATCCTACCTTTACCCTGAGGAGTCGGCCTCCATGTACCCGTGGGTTCCACCACCCATACCGTCGCCCCACAACCCATACGCCCACCCGATGGACGACATCGCAGAGCTGGAGGAACCCGAAGAGGCAGATAGAGAGCGACAGAGCACCTCCTTCCGTCTGCCCAGTGCCGCCTTCTTCGAGCAGCAAGGCATGGATAAGCCCGCCAGGTCCAAGCTGTCCCTCATCCGCAAGTTCCGCCTCTTCCCGCGGCCCCAGGTGAAGCTGTTTGGGAAGGAAAAGCTGGAGGTGCCTCTACCACCCTCCCTGGACATTCCATTGCCCTTGGGGGAGGCGGACGAAGAGGAGGACGAGGAGGAGAGGCCACCTGTTCCCCCACCCTACGGTCACCTCTTCTGGGGCTACCTGACGCCACGCCAGCGAAACCTGCAGCGTGCCCTGTCGGCCTTTGGGGCCCGCCGCGACCGGAGCTTCAGGCCCGAGTTTGGCCGCACGCCGGCCCGGCCCGCCACCTCGCTGGCCCGTTTTCTCAAGAAGACGCTGTCGGAGAAGAAGCCCATTCCGCGGCTCTGGGGCAGCCAGAAGGTGCGGGCGGGAACGCCGGCAGTCCGAGAGGCTGCTTACAAGCGCTTCGGCTACAAGCTGGCGGGCATGGACCCTGAGCGCCCGACCACGCCCATCGCTCTGCGACGCGTGCAGCCGCTAGTGCGCAACAACAACAACTCACGCTCTCCGCGGGCTCCGACGCCCTGGGGCGCGCTCCTGTCGCCCCTCACGCCGCGCCACGTGCCTTCGTCGGTGGCCTCACTGCGGCCTGCCTCGCCTCCCAGCTCTTTGCGCCTACACCCGCCGCCTTGGGCAGCTCCTGCGCACATTCCGCTTGCGCCTCAGGCGAGCTGGTGGAGCTTCGTGGAGCCCCCGCGTGTATGCCCCGAGGGTGCTGCAGACACGCTGGCATTCCCCAGGCCAGGGCCCAGGCCTTCATTCCGAGTGTCCCACCAGCAAGGCCCAGCCTTCGGCTTCGCAGGCCGCTCGCCCCAGACCTCGCGCCGGGTGGGCTGGCCGCCACTGTCTTCACCGCAGCTCTCCCTAAGGACCTTGCCAGGCCCCGGCTACCGATCGCCCAGGGGGTCCCTGTCCCCACAGCCCTCTATCCGCTCTAGCCCCTTCCAGCAGACCTTCTCGCCCTTGCCCCGTCGACCCCGCTCGCTCCGGGAGCCACTAACCCGGCGCCCCAGCTCCAGGCGTCAGAGCCCGCCTCGCCCCCAAGCGCTGGGCTCGCCCCTGGTGCCCCCGCGAGCTGTCAGCCAGAGGCTGCCTGCGTCCACGCCTTTGCTGGGTCCCAGTCTCAGGCGCAGCTCCCTGAACCTGCCCTCACGCTGCCCACATACGTGGAAACGGCTGAGTGAGCAGCCTACACGGGCCGTGAAGCCCCAGGTGCGCCCACCCTTTCCCCGGCCGCCTGGCTCTGGGTCCTGGCCCGTGGGCTGGGCTGCCCCTAAGCGCCAGGAACAAGAAGAGGACTCAGAAACGCTTTGGATAGTGCCACCACTGGCCCCTACCTGGGACGTGGACATGCCTCCCACCCAGCGTCCATCCTCCCCCTGGCAGGGAGGCATGAGCAGCCACAGAGGCTTGTCCAGGCCACCCCTTGTGCCAGAAAACCCCTTCCTGGAGCATGTAGGCCCTGTGGCATCCCCTACATTGAAGGTGGAGGACCCAGCCTCTGACTCAGCTAGTGTCTTCCTGGACAGACACTCTGATCCAGGACCTGGACAACTCACCAAATCTGTGGGCCTGAGCCCTGAGAAGCCAGAAGATGTCGTGTTGGTGGATCCCCAGACAACAACAGAGCCTGAGTTTCTACCGGTGGCATCCCCTAAAGATCTCACCTCAAAGGAGAAAGTGCTGAGGCCCAGCCTTTCCTACCCACTGGCTACAGGTGACCAGACAAGGGCCATGTGGCCACCATGGCACCATTGGATGACAATGCCCAGAGCCCCAGCCCCCTTGGCACCCAGTGGGACCCCAGGGCTCCTGCCTGAGGGGGGCAAGCTGTGCCAGGCTGGACCTGAACGTTGTGCAGTGGTCATGCCTTGGGTGAAAAAGCTGAGCTCCTTCAAGCAAGTGGGTCCTGCTATACTGCAGCACCCCGTCCAGCAGGCTCAGGACTCCCAGCCCAGCCCAGAGCTACGAGCCTGGAGTCTGCGCTGGACCCGCCTTTGGAAGCCAACAGAGGCCCACCGACCCTGGCCACGAGTGCGTACCTCCCCCCCATCCTGTCGCTTGGGTTCTGGAGCTACCTGCCTGCCCCACAGGGGCCCCTGGGAAGAGGTTGGCCCCCAAAGCTGGTATGATAAGGTATGGAACATAGTCAGAGGGATGTCATGGGAGGCCCCGTCTAAGAAACAGGACACAGAATAGCCCAGGAGCCTTTGTGTGTCCTTGATGAGCTGCTTCCTTCTTGGGCTTTAGTCTGCCGTTCTGTAACTCTGAGAGAACAGCCTTGGCCTCCCTGAGCCACTGAGCAAGGGAATGCCCGTTAAAGGGCAGGGACACAGAAATTCGTCCCAGGTCTGTTTTGGGAAGGGGTTTGGGTGTAAGTATCAGCCTGGGCTCTAGACAGCTACAAAGCATCTCTGTTCTTGCAGCCCTGTCCTGGTCAGCTGACTCTCAGAGCTTGTAGCCTAGGGCAAACAAAGCCCACCTCCACATCATGTCCACACTGGCCTCCTACTGGTCCACCCCCAAACTGGAGTTTTTTTTGTCTCTTCAGGGTTTCTGCCTAAGGGTAGTAACACTCCCCTTCACAGCCCCCCAGGCTGGAGGATTCTGGTGTATCTGAGGGTGAGGGTCTTATTGTGGAGTGGGGAAACCAAGGCCTGAAAGGTCTATTTCTTGGCTGAAGTCACAAAGTGAATTAGAGGCTGAGTCAATCTGTCTGGGCCTTCCTGTGGGATGTGGAGTAAGGCAGCATGTCTGAGAGATGCCTGGCTGAGCCTGGCTGCTACACTCATGAAGGAATGTGAGCCCAATGTTGGGTAGTCCTTGAAAGAGGGGTGTAGTCACCAGAGCCTCCCCTGGGACACAGGGTAGGCGGGGCAAGCAGATGAGGCAGGTGCCTCAGCCTCTGTTGATGATGCCTTGAGGAGCAGGCAGCTGGCAGGGCCCAACAATGGCGACTGGGGCAGCCTGGCTGTTGGGAGGGCCTAGCCCTCAGCGGCGGGTACCCCGTGCTGTGTGGGCTGCAGCGTTGCGGGAGCGGGGCACAGGTCGCCCAGGGGTGAGGGGCAAGGATGCCTGGGCCCTCCTTACTCTGGAATACGTGAGTGGCTGAATTATTTAGGGTCTGACTGTTAGCGAGCACATGGGCAGATGGGTGGGCAGGAGGCCAGGGCCTCCAGGGTGATACTTTGTAAGATGGCCTACTTAGCAGCCCAAGGACAGGCACAACTGCCCTCAGGGCTCACTCCTGGTGTCTCCTTTCCTCATTTTCTCAGGAAGGGGTGGGGACTGGGATTGGGAAGGCTGAGAGCACCACATTTGTGCTCAGTCACACATACAGGCCTACCTGTCAAATGAGGAAAGTGCATTTGTGTACCAAGGCTTGAGCAGACATGGCACATGTGGGGGTTAAGGTTGTTTGTCCACTGATGGCATGCATCCACCCACAAGTGTCATGAAGATGAGCACAGGAAATCCTGCAGCCTAAAGGTAGTGTTGGACTTCCATTCTCAAGATCCTCTGATGGGATGGGGGGCTTGCTGGTAGTCTAAGCCTAGGCTGTGGGGCACTAGCTGTATGCAGACCCATGTGTGTACCTGCCAGTGGCCTGTCTCCAGCTAGCCACGATGGGCATCTTCTGAGACCATGGATATACATGGGAACTGTATGAGCTGTCAGTACCTTTGTGTGAAGGTCCATGTGTGTGTATCTGCACCACGATGAGTGAGATGGCCTTGGCCCCCAGGGGCCCTGTGACCACATGTTCCTTGAGTTGTCACACAAGCAAACATATTGGACATGTAGAGCCAGCTGGGAAGAAGGATGTCAGAGCTGTGAGAACAAGCCTGAGGTTGGGAGGGCTTTCTTGGGTAGGGGTTGAAGATGGGCTTCTAGGATAATCTGGAGGACACTGCTTATGTGGGCATATGCTCACACCTCACACATCTAGACATCGGTAAATGTGTGTGTACCAGTGTGGGGGAATTTACATGCTGGCTCTGTGGATCCACCCAGCCTGGCTTTGGGGTTCCCTCTTTAACAATGAGAGCAGGTCCCAGGCATGTCCAAGCCAGTAGGGGCCACCCTAGGGTGCATTCTCCAACCAGGCCAACCCACAGCATCTCTCGCAGATGCACTCCATCCGCAACCTGCCATCTATGCGGTTCCGTGAACATCGAGGGGAGGATGGTGTGGAGGACATGACGCAGCTGGAGTGAGTGGCCAGGGTGGGCTGGACTGGGTCAGTGAGGGATCACCATGGGTGTCACCACGGGGTCACCATACTCTCAGCCATAGAGCCTTCTCAATACCAGAGATGCCTCTCATCTCCCAGTATATTTTCAGAGCCTCAGTTTCCCCATCTGCAAAATGGGTTATTGTGAAGTGTCATGAAGACCAAATATGTGAACATCAAAGTTCTGTGGGTCAGATAGGCCTGGGTTTAGATTCTAGCTCAACAGCTTACCGCTAGGTGACCTTGGGCAAATTACTTAGCCTCTCTGTGCCTTAGTTTCCTCATCTATACAGTGGAAGTGGTGACAGTTCCTCCCTTTCACTGTTGTTGTGAGACTGCTCATACATCGAAGGTACTCAAAATGAGAGCTATGCTGGTCAATATTATGATCAGTTATGATAACTCAGCCTACGCATCTGTCATCTAGGAGTATCCCCCATGGCCCCCAGTGCAGTAGGTACAATTACTATCCTTCCCACTTGACAGATGAAAAAAACTGAGTTGCAGACTAAGATCTAAAAGCTGGCTGGTGCCAGGGATGAGACTTGAACTCAGGCCTAAGAACCCAAGCTCTTAGCATGGCAGTGCACTGAAGGGAGAGACAGGCATATGCCAGCTGGAGCCTGGGCGCTGACTGCCCCTCTCTGCACCTACCCAGAGACCTCCAAGAGGCCACCGTGCTGTCCAATATCAAGACCAGATTTGAACGGAACCTCATCTATGTAAGTGAGACTGGTCCTGCCTTCCTGCCTCTGGGACCTCCTGGGAGTAAGGGTGGCCACACAGGTTTCACCTGTGGGGCCCCAGACCCGAGGCCTCTGGTTTGAACTTTGAGGTTTGTACCATTCGAGCACAGAATGCTAGAGCCTGAAGCTCTGACTAGAGGTGAGAGGCGGGGACCTGGAGTCAGGGAACTCAGAAATGTGCGATCTCCACTGCAGGCCCTACAGGTACAGAGACCACAATCCCAGAATCTCTAGACCTGGGTTCCAGAATGAAAGAGGCCACCAGGATAGGAGGAGTCACTGACCAAGAAGATAGAATGGTGGACCAATGGCATAGAACCACCATGGGGAAGGCAAGGACCCTGAAAAGTCTTCAGGATGCCTTGGCCCCCCAGTTCCTACTCCACTCCAGGGAATGGAGGATTGACCTCAAAGTTCCTAGAGCCTAGGCCTGCCTTTATGAGTAAATGGAGTAGGCAGCAGCTGATGTGGCAATCATCCTGGCCCCCTTTGCCAATGATAGCTGTGGGGTTTTACTTTTCTCAAATGCCTCCCAGCCTCAGTCTGATACAGTGCCTGAATTTCCACTGTTAGCACACGTGAGCCCAGGGTGCTGTTAGCCTTGGGTGTGAACACTGAAGCCAGGCAGCTAGAGCTCTGTCCTGGCGGAAATGGGGACCCCAATCTCTAGGAGCAGGGCAGGGGGATGTAGAGAGCCGGAAGAAGCATCAGCACTGAGGCCACTCCCTGCCCAGCAGACATATATCGGCAGCATCCTGGTGTCTGTGAACCCATATCGGATGTTCGGGATCTACGGGCCAGAGCAGGTGCAGCAGTACAACGGGCGGGCTCTGGGAGAGAATCCACCGTGAGTGTCCTGAGGCTGGGGGTTGGGGAAAGGGAGTACTATTCTTGGCTCTCTTGTATCCTTCTCTCAGCTTTTCAAGAGTCTGGCTGCCCCTCACCACACGTCAGGGCTGATGGTGTTAGGCAACCTACCTGCTCAGCCATACAGACCCTTCCCAGGCCTGGCCACACCCTTGCTGGGCCTGAGGCTTCTCTTCCCATGGCATATAGGCTAAGGTGGCTCAGAACAGGATGGGAGATGGGGAGCATTTCCCCGTGGAGGTGATGGGGTGAAGCAGGATTGGCCACTGGGCTGGGCAGAGATGCCGCCCTGGCCTTGCTTCAGGGAAGTGATGCCTAGCAGCCTGTCTCCCCAGACACCTCTTTGCAATTGCGAATCTTGCCTTCGCCAAAATGCAAGATGCCAAACAGAACCAGTGCATAATCATCAGGTGAGCCATGGGTCAGGTTGGGGGTGTACCTGTTCATGGGGATGAATGGGGGGACCTCAGGCAACAAATGTTCCACATCTGGCCAGACCTACACTGTGATCTCGGGAAATCCCTTGGTATCTCTTGGCTGGCATGCACCCCCATGTCTCCACATCCTGTCCCCCATCCTAGTTCTCGAGCAAGGCTGGGGAACCCAGGAGAAGCAGGGAACAGGGAGAAATTCACTCTGCCTCTTTGTTTGGGCAGTGGAGAAAGCGGCTCTGGCAAAACTGAGGCCACAAAGCTGATTCTGCGCTACCTGGCAGCCGTGAACCAGAAGCGGGGCATCACACAGCAGGTGAGTCTGTCTGCCCATTGCGTAATCTGTCTGTTTTCCCAAGACCCTCAGATGAGCGCCCTTGTGGCACATGCCACACCTGCTCCCCAAGAGGCAAGAGTCTTTGGCCCCACTTTAAGGACTGGAAGCCTGGGCTCCGGAGAGTTTGGGGCCTGGCCAGAGGTTGCACGAAAAGGGGTATTGGACTCTGGGAAATTTCTGATGCCCCTGCCTCCCCAGAAGCACCTGGGGGGTGGAGTCCCCTCCTGTCTATGTTCCTGGTGGCAGCTCTGGGTTCCAGGATCAGAGTTGAGGCAAGAGGGATTGTTTTACTCTCCTGTCTGGCATTATGACCCTGAGACACCATATTTTCACACCTAAGGAGAGGACAGGCCTGAGTGTGGGAGGAGCAGACAGGGGGATGTCCCAGAGAGCACCCAGGGAGGAGGTAGATATGAGGTGGGGGCCTCTGGGCACCAAAGAGGCTGGACAGGTTCTGGTCATGACCGAAAGTTTGCTAATGAAGTGATTGCTAAATCCTCAAACCTGTGAATGTTAGAACTTCAATAATGTACTGAGGACCTACTGTGTGCCAGGGTTGTGCTAGGGAGGCACACAGCAGTAACTAGACAGACAAATGTTTCAACCACATGGAAATTTCAATCTAGTGAAACTGAAAGAAATAAAATATGTAAGTAAATTTTGCGTATGTAAAGTATGGCAAGTTGTAGAGAAAAACAGTGAGGGTCATATAGGGGAGTGTTGAAGGCTGTCATTTTAACATGATGGTCAGAGTAGGCTCCACAGAGAAGCTGACAAAGTGGCTGTGAGGACATCTGGGGAAAGAGAAACCAGGGAGAGGACAAAGCAAGTGCAAAGTCCCTGAAGTAAAAATAAGTCTGATGGGCCGGCATGGAATCCAAGCAAGAAGGATGGTAGCTCAGACCAGGGAAGTAGCAATAGAGGAATGAGGAGTGGTTGAATTCTGGGTTAAAAGCAACACCAATGACTGGCTGCGGGGCCAGATTGGGGTGTAAGAGAGGGAGAGAACCCAAGGATACTCCCACGTGTTGGGCCTAAGGCACTGGCAGGATGGGGCTGCAGGAGAAGCCTGTAGAGAAAACAATGAGGTGACCTTGAGTGGCTAGTGGTCCCCAAAGAGCATAAGTCGGGAGCTCAGGAGAAGTTGGGGCTGGAAGCAGACGCCCACCCACTCAGACTGCAGAGCCACAGAATCTCATACTCTCACACACAGATGTCTACTGAGACTTTGACATAGCTTCGTTGTCCCAGTCAAGGGGGCCTTTGCCAAGGGTGATCCCGGGGATGCATCAAGAGCATGTGGTTGGCCCAGGAGACTGCCTGGCAGGCCCAGTGGGGTCCAGCCTTCTTGAATGCTAGTCTCTTCCATCCTAGGCTGGGCTTCCCGATGGCCATTTAGGTTAGACTTAAGGAGGTATTGGTGAAATAAGCAGGAGAAGAAAGAACTGTGCACCAAGCACCTCCTGGGTGCCAGGTGCTGCCAGCTATGTTGTCATGCCAGATTCTCACAGCATCCTTATCAGGGAGGAGGTATATTTGGATCTATTCTATAGATGGGGAAAGTGAGGCTTGGGAGAGAATATGACTTGCCCAATATCTCAAGATAAGATGGTGATGGAGCTGGATTTGAAGTTTATGGTCAGAGGGCTCATCTTGACAATGGTCTGGGAGGATGATTGGGGCTGTAGAAAGTGACTGGATCTAGGAAAGTTTGTGTACAAGCATGTAGTCAGTGTGAGGCCATGTCTGTTAGTTATGATGGGCATGGAACTTGTTTTCCAGCTGCTGCTCTACCTGTTGTTGTTGTTGATATTTGCTGTCGAGTCAGCCCCGACTCATAGCGACCCCTCCTTGGGTTTCCGAGGCAGTATCACTATGGAAGTAGGATTGCCCAACCTTCCTTCCGAGGAGTGGCTGGTGAGTTTGAACCACCAGCCTTCTGGTTAGCAGTCAAGTGCCTTAGGCACTATGCTACCAGAGCTCCTGCTGCTCTACCTATGCTCATGTAATCAAATAGTCCAGAGAAGATCAGTTTTAGGCATGGCTGGATCCAGGATCTTACCCACCATCCCTTGAATTGGCTCCGCCCTCCTCTGTATACATTCATCATCCTCAACCTACCTCCCATTGGTCAGCAAGATAGTACCATGATAACACAGCTTTCACTTCCCAACAGTCCAGGCATCTCAGGGCTCTTTCTCATTGGACTAGTTTTGGCTCTGTGTGCTCACTCGAGCCATTCATGTAGCAAGAGGCATGCCCTGCCATGATTGGCTGAAGCTTGGGTCATAGATTCTGTCCCTTGGGGTAGGTTTGTGGGTAGGGTTTCCAGAAGGATGGATGGATGCTGTGTAGCCCATAGCACCTGGCACCACAGAGGGACTGGATTGGAGGCCCTGAAATACCAGATGTTTACCTCCTCAGGCCCACCAGGCCTTGTCTCAGGCCAATGGCTGTGTGCCCATCTCATACTGGGCACATGAAGCAGCCCTCTCACACTCATATACCCTTGAGGGCTTCCAGACCAAGGGATAGTACAGGGCAGACCCTGTCGTTTTATGACACAATATTACCTAGACAGATAGGATATAGATGTGGCCCAATGGAAAGAGCTGGCATTGTCCCCAAGATTATATGTATTATTTCTGTGGTGACAGAGCCTCCCCTGCTTCTTGCCTAAGAATATATGCTCAGGAAATGATGCAGCAAATGAAAATGCCGCATGCACAAAGCTGTTTGTTGCAGTATTGGGACCCCACACTGGTGGATTCTGGAGTTGGACGTGGGACTCGAGGCATGTAGCTTCACCTCTCTAAGCCTCAGTTTCCTCATCTGTAAAATAGGGGTGATATTAGTGCCTATCTCATAGGATTATTAGAAATTATATACACCAATTCCTCACTTACTGACATCATTAGGTTCCAAAAACCATGTCATTATGTAAAAATTGGCATTATGTAAAAATGGAAGATGACCATATTAGATCACAAAAAGGAAAATGACTAACTACATTATTACATAACTGCTAAATCATTGAGAATGGCCCAGCCATATTGACATATAACTTAACCATCACAGCCACAGGATTACTCTTACTTTACCAATGTCCATTAATGCCAGATGTATATCATTGATGTGCAAAATAGTCAGATAGTAGATTTTTTACTATTGTTGTAAATGTAAAATGTCAGATAACAAGATAGATAGGTGAGAAGTAGGTGTCATTAGGATTAAGGGTCTCATACATGTTGTTGTCAAGTATCATCAAGTGGATTTTGAAGTCATTGTGACTCTGTGTAACCAAATAGTATTGCCTCATAGAATTTTCATGGCTATCATCTTTACAAGGAGCTTTGGTAGCATACTGCCCAAGGCATTTGACTGCTAACCAGAAGGCCAGCGGTTCAAACACACCAGCCACTCCTCAGAAGGAGGGTTGGGCAATCTATTTCTGTAGTGATACTGCTTGGAAACCCAAGGAGGACTCGCTATGAGTCGGGACTGACTCGAGGGCACATAACAACAACAACAACATCATCTTTATAAGGAAGGAGATAGCCAGGTCATTCTCTTGTAGAGCTGTTGGGTGGGTTTGAACCACAGACATTTTGGTTAGCAGGAGAGCGCTTAACTGTTGTGCCACCAGGGCTCCTTAGTAAGTGTTAATAAGTGGGATCTATCATTAGCTATGGAGTCCCTGAGTGGTGTACACAGTTAATATGCTCAAATGTGCCCCAAAGATTGGCAGTTCATGTCTACCTTGAGGCACCTTGGAAGAAGGCTTGGTAATCTACTTCAGAAAAATCAGCCATTGAAATCCCTGTGGAGCACAGTTCTTCTGATGTACATGGGGTCGCATGAGTCAGAATTGACTCGACAGCAACTGGTTATCATGAGCTGTGGTTACCCCTTGGCAGTTACAAGCGAGAGATGCTGTTCCTTTAGTCATCCATGTAGCAGCTATTTTTTGAGGGCTCACTCTGTACCATGTCCTGTATAAGTACTGGGCGTTTACAATGGGCATTCTAGTCAGGGAGAGAGCTGTCACACAAGCAAACAGGCAGATAAGAGGAGCTGCTGGTGGTGCTGAGGACTATAGGGGAAGAAGACACTGGGGGGGTGGGACTGACCTAACCAAGGTAGTCAGGGAGGTATCACCTGAGCAGGTGACAGTTGAGTGACATCCTGAAGAATAGGTGAGTGTGAGCCAGGCAGTTATATGAGCACCTCAGCTTCCAGGCCAGTGCCTAGAGGCAGGAGTGTGCCTGGGTGTTGGGGAACTAGTGAAGAGGCCCACACTTGCAGTTGCAGTGGGGTGGTGGGAGAATGACATTCCCAGAGTGTTTTGGCAGATAGAGCCAGCAGGAATCTCATACCCTGGAGGCCACACTGCAGCCCCCATGCCCATCAATCTGGGGGCTGGGACTGAAGGCCTGCAGGCTCTATGAGGTTCTGGCAGCTCTCCCACCTTCTACTAGAGACCAGAAGTGATCCCCTATCCCTCCATGATCTGAGGCTCCTAATCTCCTGAGGGGAGAGTGCTCAGTCTGCTGTTGACTCACTTCTGTTCTTGTCTCTTTTTCCTCCTTCTCAATGTTCCTCAACATAAAGGTACTTGAAGTGTGCATGTATGTGTTGCATGTATGTGTGCATGCATGCTCTCATGCCACTATGGACACTCATGCATGTATGGATGTGCATGTGTTTGCACATTTGCGTGTGGATGGTGGCATGGACAGGAAGAGGTGTCCAAAGGCCTGTCTGGTGCCAGGGCTGTTGCTGAGGGCCTTTGTATTGGGGGCTGCCATGTGAGGGAGTCTGGGAAGCTGGGAGAGGGGTAGCATGAACTTGCATTATGGATATTAGGCAGCACAATTGGGTTGAGTTGAGGCAGCAGAGGGTGCTGGGAAGACCCCAGGGTTCTGTATTCTTTAGGGATCCTACCTACAGTCTCATCCTTCACAAAGGGGGTGCTTGGGGTAGTCTGTGTCTGCAGAAACCTAGAAGTACTCTCAGCTATACTCCCCACCCCAGGCCCCCAAAATAGTGCCCAGTCCCCCAAGTCCTACGTCTGTGGTCCAGATCCTGGAGGCAACACCACTCTTGGAGTCCTTTGGTAATGCCAAAACTGTAAGGAATGACAACTCCAGCCGCTTTGGGAAGTTCATGGAGATCTTTCTGGAAGGGTGAGTGGGTAGTGGAAAGGGTGCCCAGGAAGCTCTGGCCTTGCAGTGCACCCTATGCAGTGTACCCCATGCCCAGCTGCAGAGCTACTCCCTGCCCAACCCCACATGAGCTGACCTGTGTTCCCACCTCCAGGGGTGTGATCTCTGGTGCCATAACTTCTCAGTACCTGCTCGAGAAATCCAGGATCGTGTTTCAGGTGGGCCAAGTGCCTCCCAGGCCCTTTGTGTAGGGGTGGGAAGGGCTTGTATATGTATGCAGAGCTAGCATGTGAGGATCTTGGCAGATGCTGAGACCATGAACAATCATGTATGTGTGTGTGTACGTGTGTACACTTTGAGCACATGACTTCCTCCCTCCATACACACCCCTCCCACCACATTGGGCCCCTTTCTATTCCTGAAGCTAACCAAGCACATGCCTGCCTCAATGCCTTTGTACCTACTGTTCCTTCTTCCCCTCAATACTCACATGGCTAAATCCTTCATCTCCTCCAAGTCTTCCCTAAAGTGTCACTTGCTCCAGGAAGCTTCCCTTACTACCACACCCCACCAGAACTTCCTGCCCTCCTGTGCTTTAATTCTATTCAAAGCACTTACCTAACACATTTTATATAGTAGAGTGACTTGTTGTGTGTCTCTTCCCACTAGCAGCTAGACACCAGGCGTTCTTGGGGGGCTTGTCTCTCTTGCTCCCCACTGTGTCAGGGGGCCCAGGAAATACCTAGCCCCCTAGCTTAGTGGTTCATGAGAAGGCTCTGTGTGTGCACATTTGGGCCTGTGAAACACATGTATGTAGGTCTGAGTGGCCAGTGCACATCAGCGATGGGCTCCCTTTCTCCTATTTTTCCCGATAAAATAAAACCTGGCCCGAGTCTGCTCCCCACCACTTATTACCGGTGCTTGCTCTCGCCTTCTACCCCACCTCCAGCCAATGCCAGGGCAGGGAGGCCAACTTGCCACACAGGGGTATCCTGTCTCATCAGTGACCCTTGTGTCTGTGTGTGTGTATTTGTGGGCATGCCAGCACCTGTGTATCTTTATGTGTGTTCCTTCTCTGGGCCCACCCACCACCCTGCAGGCCAAAAATGAACGGAACTACCATATCTTCTATGAGCTGCTGGCTGGGCTACCTGCCCAGCTCTGTCAGACCTTCAGCCTACAGGAGGCTGAGACCTACTACTACCTGAACCAGGTGGGTGCATCTGAGGGCTCCACAGGGCCTGTGGGAGTGAGGGGATGCCAGTGAAGCAGGGCCCAGGTTTCTAGTGGGCACATTCTTAGTCTGCTCAGGAGTAGAATAAGGGATGCCCCACAGACCTAGTCCTTCCTCCTCCATCACCCCACCCTGGGCTGGCAAGCTGGCAAATCATGCTGTCCTAATGGCCAGCAAAAGTGATGGAGGTTTAAGGAGGGAGAGTTTGGATTTAAGCATTTCATTGTGGCAAGAGAAGCAGAAATCTTTGTAGTTCAAAATGGAGAATATGGCCAGGAGCCCTATCTGACTCCAGTTCTCTGGAGCCTAGAAAGAAACTAGTTAGAGTACTACCCTTGCCCTCCCCCCTTTTTTTTCTTTTTACCTCAGTCTCTTCATCTGAAAAATGGGGACAATATAATATCTACTTCACAGGGATATAGTGAGGATTAAGCACTTGGCATACAACCTGGCACATAGTAAGTGCTCAATAAACGTTGGGTGCTATTTTTTTTTAATTAACATTACCATTGGGCTGCGAGAGGGATCAGAGTGTAATGAGCCCCTGTTACACATAGCCCCTCCTCAGTCATGCTCAAAGTCTCCTGGCATAGGGGAATGGAATGCCCTTTTCATGATGAGAACTTGAGGGACTGGCTCAGGACCACACCACTGGTTGAGCAGAGCAGGGACCTTGAAGGCCCCAGACTCCTACCCAGAGTCCCTGCCTGCCGCCCCACCCCCGGCCCCTACCTTTGCTTAGGGTGGGAACTGTGAGATCGAGGGGAAGAGTGATGCAGATGACTTCCAGCGGCTCCTAGAAGCTATGGAGGTACTGGGATTCAGCAGTGAAGACCAGGACAGCATCTTCCGCATCTTGGCCTCCATCCTGCACCTGGGTAATGTCTACTTTGAGAAGTATGAGGTGAGAAAAGGCCATAGCCTGCATGACAACCCAGAATCTTAGGGTGATCGGCTTAGCTGCCAGAGCTCTGGTAGCATAGTGCCTAAGGCACTTGACTGCTAACCAGAAGGCTGGCGGTTCAAACCCACCAGCCACTCCTCGGAAGGAAGGTTGGGCAA